ACGATATGATTAAAAGAAAGTACTCAGATAATCTTAACCCCAGCAGTTCTTTTAAGTAAATTCATACCATTCTGCCAAAATATTTACGCTTACCGCGATAATGTTCTGTCCATTTAAAAATCTGTCAAGGTGGAGAAGTGCAGATCATTTTCAGTTAAGGGCTTAAAATATTTGAATTATAATTTTCTTGTTTAGAACGAATATGAAATCCGCCGGGCGGATCGAGTAGGCAAAGAATCTCGCTTAACAGGCCTTAGGTTTAAGTCTCAAGTGCGGTAAAGTTTTCCATAAAGTCAACAGACTTAAGAATGTTAATGCTTTTTAAGGTTTTAGTCTTCGAATGTATTTCTCTAACTAAATTTATTTTAATACTTGATTGACAAAGATTGGGAACCTCTGATTTAAAATTTCAAATTTACATTATTTATATAATTTCTTATTGTATTCATCACTATCATGGGTATTCATTCCCTTCGTAACATCCTCATAGTTGAAGTAATATTATCAATAATTACGTGGTCAAGACTTATCGCGACCTAGAAGATCTATTGTACATGCAGATGCTCTTAGCCCTCCAGTTTTAGGATTTTTATGAATCCGGCCAACTTCTTTGGAGCGGAGCACCATACCATGTCCGGCATTGTAAAATGCTCACCAAAGACTTGCTATCTGATTCTGCAGATGGCCTCACATTTATATCGAATCTGAAGGGACATTAAGCAGATTCTGCCAAGGGGCAGTCGGTATCAAACATACCCCTCTTTTTCAGTTGATACTTGAGGGAATTATGACCCGTGTAAAAGACGGTCGCCTCTTCTTAGTTGCAGCCTTATCGGAAGGTTTTTTCGAATTTTTTTGCCCATTCTGTGCCCATTGCGATACCAGACTATTAATGTGGCTTCTTGATACGCCACAGAAAGTTTCAAGACCTATCATGGCCCCTCGGGCTTCCCTATAGCTAAATTAACAGCCTAAGAAAATCGTCGACTTGATATTTTTCATATTTAAATATTTTGTAAAGTCGATCAGGCCGACTTTATAATTGCTAAAGGGTATTAAAGATTCGTTGCAAAGAGTACGTAGCTTTCTTGCAATGTTTTTTATGTATTAATCTCCCAAGAACTATTTTGCAGTGAACTTAATGAATAAAACATTTCATTTATATACGTTTCAATACGTTTAATAGGAGAAAAAAAAAGCAAAAATCATGATTAATATCAAACTTAAAATATGTTGTCTTTGATTTGTTTAAAAAAAAAATTCACTGAAAGTCAAGGTTAATGATAAATTATACACTAATTACTAATAAATTATAATTACTTTGTTAATTTTTTTTTTTTTTTTTCATAAAAATAATTAAACATATAAAAATAAAAAAAAAAATGTCTAAACTAATTATCGAAATACCCTTCAATAGATTGAAGCAATGTATATACATATAATATTTATGTTTTATTTTATCGAAATAATGATGCAATTAAAAAAGAAAGTTTCATAATAAGAATATTTATTAGTTAAGCATTTTTTTTTTTAATTTTTACATATTCACGATGCAAGGAAAAGGCGACTTTGATATACGTATTTTAAAAATTCTTCTTTTCCAATATCAAATAATATGCTTTAAATTTCTTTTTGCAACATTTCACTTTTGTACGGTTTCAGCAGATGCTTTTGCATTAGAAAAAAAAAAAAAGAATGATTGAAAGACTAGCTTCGCTTAACTATCCTCAAGCAGTAATGCAAGTCAAGATACTATTATAAGGAAAGATTTTTAATCTCTTAAAGCGAGGACGTTCCTTATATATTTTGTTAACTATATATGAGTAAGAATTTTCCAATTTTTTTTTAAACGAAGTGAATAATGGATATTTCCTTTTCAAAATGCGAAACGGAGAAAATAAATGATTAGTAGATCTGTTCATCAGCAAACTGCCGCGAAAGGATTGTCCGAAAATTCACATTCTTGGATACATGTACAGAAGAGTTATACTGAAGACCGTTTACCTCTTTTATCGCAAAAGTGAAAGTTAAGGTTTTCAAAAAGTCACAACAAGTTGACCATTGTTTCGATATGCAAAACAATTAAAAATTTGTCACGAATTTGTTACTTTGACCCAGAATTTAGATATTCATCATTAGGGAGTGTTCGAATATCGTGACAAAGCTTATTGTCAACTGCGACATGATTTGATTTAAACAAAATTCGCATTTTTTTTTTATTTATATTTGAGAAGCCAGACGGAGAATAAATTCCATTCCATTTACATGTAGGAATGGTTGTGGATTGAATTTCTATGCGGGAATGTTTATGAAAGCGGCTGAGACTCGAAGACGAAAAGAATGTACGAAAAAGTTTGCAACGTTTTTCAAGTTGTGTCTCTCGACGTCAACACGAATAGCACGTAGTAGGTTCGCAGGAAAATCCGGAACTTGATAGCATATACAGTAAGAGGATAACAAAAAATGCATTACGATTCCTCGACCCGGCTATCTTTGAATATCGCTTGCTTCGTTCTCGGCACAATTTCCTAAATACTATTTTAGTATTTAATATTATTATATAAAGTGAAGTTTCGTCAATGAGGGCGATGACAGATCAAATAATTCTTTTAAAAGCAACTGCTTCTTGGAGAAATTGATAATGTTTCCTTATTTAAAAAACAAAATCTAAAAAAAAAAAAAATACCACCTATGAGGCAATTTCTTGATCCGAGAAACTACAAAAATTTTATGAAACCCGGACCGCGGTATTGCCATAAAACCTAATCAAATTACACTTAATAAATGAGGAGAGAACCTCCTAATCAGAAAAGGCATTACATTTTTTTCGTTTATATAGGATGTATCATACTTCAATCATATCATATCAAGGCAAACGTTCGAGACAATGAAAACTAAAATGGCTAAGAAAGTGATAATTGCGTGTAAAATTGACAAATCGCGCAACACTACTTCGCGGTATTTGAATTTTTGGCATAGATTGTCTGGTCACGAAGGAGATTGCCCTGAAGAGCTTCGTAGCACTTTTTCTTATATTGTAAATGAATTTTATTGAATCAGATATTTGCAATTTTGACCGCTAATCCGACCCATATGAAAAGTTATACATCATTATGCGATATTATAGGACTCTTGGGATTCGCGAGCCGTTCGTCATTCACGAGTCGTTAAGAAGATGCTATAAAGAGGAAAACGAATGCTAGTCAAACAGGATAAAGTTCGGCTCAAGCCGATGCAGCAAAATTTTCCAACCAAGTCATATCAATATTTTGCCGAGTCATTAAAGATATGTGGCCCGACAATGTCGTAACTGAAGATCACGCCTTTTTCATTCATCAATTCAGGAAACTTACCTCAATTGTGAACTTGAATCATATTATTTGCTGGGAAATGGGGAACAGAGGGGAATGCGATTCTTTTTCAAATCCACTAAAGACCAAGCATTAACTTGTGTGGAGTAAATCCAAACTTTATCCTTTGTGCAGGTCCATAAAAATTTTTTCATTCGTGAGACTGACTTTTTACTGCCCCTCCCTAACCAAACGCTTCAGGAACGAGTCCACTTTAGTTTATTTCAGCAGTGATTTACGCAGATGGAAATTCGGGTCCAAAAATCGTTGAAAATCTTTCGAAATCGAAACAACTATTCATTGACAAGAGCAAGGGGATGGATATTTCGAGACTGCAAGAGAGAACTAACTGTTAGCATGCTGCCACGAATTTTTGCCCAAGCCTGCGAGGATCCGTCTCCTTTCTTGTGGTAATAATGTAAAATATACCAGAATTGTGCCACGGTGGTTAATACTCATCACTAAATTTCAAAGAATTCAAAAGCTATATCTTATATATGGCATAATACAATCGCTATCATTGGAAATTAAACGATTACGAATTTTACATTATAAACCCTATTAGGATTCCCTTGTCTATTGAAGTGAAAAGTTTGAATGTAAATGCAATCAGATCAAGCAAGATTTCACTTAATTTAATATTTGAAAATCAGATTGACATATAGGAAGGTCAGTAAATTGTAAGAGAATTAAATCTTATTTTCGAAATCATTTTTAATATTCGAATATTGAAAATCAAGGACTCTGCTGGCCCTTTCTAATCTCCTGATTCGATATAATCTAAAAGTTAGTCTCTCACAAATATTAATCATATCGCAAATAACACGACATATACTCGGGAATTGCGAAGACTATATTAGCAAATTTTAGGAAATCAGATTTAATGTAAAGAAAATATTTAAGTAAAAGGGTCCCCGTATGTTTGAAAAAAAAAGTCATCATCAGGTTTATTATTGAAAACTCTTTCGAAATCTCAAAGTCTTGACTACTTACTACGGTCACACACAAGCGCTCATGAGTAAAACATTCGTAAAAAAAAAAAAAAAAAAAAAACAAACTACCTTTGTATTATTAACAATTTGAAACATGAAATACTTTATAATTTATGAAATGTGCTATAAGCACAAGCACGCCCCTGTTTGCTGCTCATTTACCATGTTTGACTCATCAAATTAATTAAAAACAAAATTCACTTAAACGAACATTGATTTTAAAAAATTAAAGCCAAGAACAAAAGAAGGAAAAAATAAAAAAAAAATAAATAAACAAAAAAAAAACAAATTATGTTCAAATTAAAACGAATTTTTTGTTACCTTTCGTTCCGATCATATGGGTAAAGAATGCAAAGAATGATGGCCTTGAGAATATTTCTTTGCGTTCTGTGCTAAGGCTGGCGGCACTTACCCATAAACTGCCACTGTGTTAAACAACTCAAATTGTATAGGCCCATCTTAAGTAGGCTACCTCTCTTTGCTCCGACCTTGAGATTTCTATCCTGCACTGGAACCTTTTTGAGATTATCTTCGACACAAATTTAATTCGATGCATGAACCCAGTATTTAAACATATATTTTATTCATTTATTTATTTATTTATTTTTTTTTTTGCATTATTATTTTAAGGAAGAATTACAAGACGAATATTAATTCATTATTAAATTTGAAGACATAAAAAGAAAGAAGTCAAAAGTTGAAAGAGATTACATTCATTTATTTATTAATCCGCCGCTTCTCATAAGCGCGCTTATAGTTTCGATACTCATTCGATTTCCATAGACGGAAACGTTGAATGTCGCGGTATCGGGATGGCATGTAAGCAAAAAATGTATTACGTGGAGGTCCGCCAGAGCAAAGATGGCCTTGCATAGCAAACCAAAAGACGCGGCTTTGTTCCATTATATTCTCATTTAGACGGCGATCGTAATCATTTTTAATTGCCTGACCCTAAACTCAAGCAAAAATTATAAGTCACATATCATCATCATTAGATTTGTGATAAATCAAGGTTGAACTAACCTTCTTATCTATGTAATCGCGACAATTATAACTGAGGAACATATTGCGACCCAGCTGCGCAGCAGTCGGCGGTGGGAGTGACATATCCAATGTGTACAGTGCTTGAAATATCTTTAAAGAGACTCTATACGAACGCCAACGCTCTTTATTTGTGTACACTTTACCATATCGCCGGGCTATCCATTCCCTTAACATAGGCACTTTGTGAGCTTCAGGTAACTGAGCCCAAACAAATTTTGGATTTTTACGCAAATACTCAAAAGCGTCGAATAGCATTTTTTCCATTAAAACTTTATCCCTTGGATCATAATAGGCATTATTAGGATATTGTACTAGCGGTTTACCTAGGCCTTGCCTATATAATAACTCTTCGGCATCTTTTTCTAAGCGTTCTTTAACGGCATCAAGCCATATTTTGTTAGCGCATTTTTTAGCACTTTCCAGAACGTTCATTTTCGCCTTTTGTAATGCGGTTAGATTCGAAATGTCTTCATCCAAGGCCTCCAAAAAGACATTCTTCATTTTCATATCGTCGGCGGAGCTTTTGTCTTTAAACTCGAAAATTTTACGATAATCAAAAGTAAACGGTTTATGATTTGTAGGCGCTTGAAAGAATGTCTGCGATTCTGTTGGGGTCACACAAATATGACCGTAATCATAGGGGCGTATGTATGTGCTGGCAAAATTTGATAAATTGGAAACGTGCGACACACGTCGTACACTGCCGCGCGAAGAACGCGCACTAATACGCGGATGTAAATTTTCGACATTAATCAGTTGTTCCTTACTCAAAATGCTCATCGCATCTGCGTCGTCGGTAACGCCCTTTATATGCGCTTGTTTAGCAACGAAGCTGCTTTTCTTCGGCTCGTCGGCGTTATCCTTGTTACACTTGTCGGGCGCTATTTCGCACTTTTTTTTCGCACTTTTAATTTCTTCATCAGTTTTTTTACAAATTTCCACACCTTCCTCTCCCAGCACAACATCGATAAGTTCGCATTCACTCGTAAGCGTCTTTAAAGTCATTTGCTTACGAATAGTTCGCGCTTCTTTGCGAAATATATCCATCTGTTTTTCAATTTCTTCTTCCAATCGTTTTTTCATTGCCTCGGCTCGTTCCTAAGAAAATGAAATAAAAATGATATCGAATGTTGTAAATCGCCCCCTTCGTTGAAATTGTATTCTTCGCACTTACTTCTGCTTTCTTAAGCGAACCGAAATACTTTAATAGGCATTTATCTCTTAACTTAACTTGTAACTCGTGATGCATTTTCTCTTCGATTCCCTTAAGCGTTTTGTGATAATCGCATATTACGTGTATTTGAGAAGCCTTCAATTTGGCTCCTTCAAGATCTTTAAACATCGCCCCAATTTCATCGCGTATAATGCGATTCGCAATACGCTTGCTGGTCTGAAACTGATAGTTAGCGTACCATCGGTTACTCTCATTCGGCACCACATAGTTAGGATCGGTATAAGGCTTGTAAATGTTGACATCTACACTGAAATTTGGTAATTTCAGCACCAGCGGTTTGCCATACAATTTTGGCTTTCGCAACTTTTCAAAATAAGGTAAAATATACTTTTTTTTGGTTTTCATCTTATTTGTATAAACGGATATTGATTTTGGTCTTTCGCTTCTGCTCGATGCTTTTCTGCGTTTAATTTTATGATAATCCGGCAGAATTTTATCCAACTCTCTTAGCGTTGTTATCATATCCAGGTGACAAATGGCTGAGCATATTAATTGTTCGTTAACGCTAAAATGCGGTTTCGGTGTATGATAGTGCAATTCCATGAGAAACCATAGGAAAGCTAAATCGTTGCCCCGACTTAAACGCATTAAGAATTTAATTTCCTTTGAGCTAATAATCGGGTCCAGACCCAGCAAATTAAGACAAGCCCGTACACGATGCGATGTACTTTGCTCCGTGTCATCACGTATGGCATTAAAGAGGCGATTTGCCCCTTCCAAATGAAATACGGACGTTCCGCGAAACCAGGGCGCTACATCTTTCGCGCTGAGAAATTCTGCAATCCTCTCTTGTTCACGAAGGACATCATCTGCTTTTTCCTTGGTAAAAGATATCGATTCACCCATATCCTTTTTGTTCCACTTTTTCTTAAATTTTTCCGACAACATGACTGACTGATTTTCAATACAATTTCGAATATGAAAAATTTGAACAAAAAAAAAAATAAATACAATTAACGAATTTTGTAAAATTTTTGAATAGAAAAATTTCTCCAATGAATTGAAATCAAATGTCAAGGCATTCAACAAAACAATAATCAGGAAAAATTAATATACATAGATAGACTCTTTTTACTTATTGTGTACACGTGGGAGCTGAATGTACAGTGTCACTTGACAAATTATTACAACTCGGGATGAATAATCTCTCTAATCGATACCCCGATCAATGAAAAATTAAATATCTTTTTTAACACATGATTGCAAATTTGCGATAAGCGCAAAGCGTCAGGTCCAAAAAAGTATTGCCCCTATTGACAACAATTTTTAGATTATACAATAAGTTTTTCAAACTTATAATCGTGTTTGTTCCAAAGCAATTTCATTCCGCTGCTGGCTCGTTTGGATTATATATGCAAAGAAGCTCAAAGAAGAACAACGAAAATCGCAATTGCGAAATAATTGAACACGTGCATGTACCCATCCTTAGTATTTGGTTAAAATTTTTGCGGGGCGAAAGACAAGGCAAATCGTCCAGCTGTGAAAGACCTCTCCACTTTTATCATTTCAAGCCGTTTGGCATATTGACAAGAGACAATTGTCGTGCCATTTGCATTTATATCATTGATTCATTGTTAGTAAAATGAATATCCGCCCGCTGTAAAGTAAAGCGCGGACCCCCGTTGAAACCATTCCTATACCATGCCCATGAAAAATGGGCAAGATCCGAACGGTGTGAAAGAGAGACTTGTGCAGAGAGCCAAAAAAAAAAAAGTTGCAACGAAAAGTGGGAAAGATCCGAAGCTTATGATAGACAGACTTGTGCAGAGAGCAAAAAGACAAAAAGTTGTAAAAAAAATGGGTAAGATCCGAACTGTATGAAAGAGAGATTTGTACAGAGAGCAAAAAAAAGTTATGACGAAAAGTGGGCAGGATCCGAACCGTATGAAAGAGAGACTTGCGCAGAGAGCAGAACAAAAAGAAATTTGTAACGAAAAGTGTGCAAGATCTGAACCGTATGAAAGAGAGACTTGGGCAGAGAGCAAAAAAAAGTTATGACGAAAAGTGGGCAGGATCCGAGCCGTATGAAAGAGAGACTTGCGCAGAGAGCAGAACAAAAAGAAAGTTGTAACGAAAAGTGGGCAAGATCCGAACCGTGTGACAGATGCAGTAACATCTTCACTTCTTTTAATTTTTGCCGAGTCATTGCTGAGTTCATGGGACGTTTCTCATCGCATCATTTGTTGACAGTGACAAACAGGATCAATCGGCCGACCATGTTGAAGCAGCGCATGATGGACGATTCTCTGCAAATCCCAAGAGCAACCCGCGACCTTTTTCCACTAATGTGGCTGTATGTGACCAACGTTTGTTCACCCGTAATCAGTCTAAACCAATATTTTGAAATTATTTATGAATTTTCACCTATTTTTTGCTTGATATGACTAAGGTTACCCAAGTCACCAAGACTCTGGTTACTTCTACTGCATAAGACGGCACAAAGTTTTTTGTTTATCTAATAATACGTTAGTTAGGCTTATAAATAATATTGTCGTTTTGATTCAGGAATATAGTGATGGATACCTGTTTTCTTCATTCTCACATAGGGCACGAAGTAATCGTTTTAATTGCGCTTGAACAGTTCCAAGCGGCGCTACCTGTTGCTACGTTCATGATTTTTCTCGTTGCGAGTAAACACAGTATCCATTTGGAAAAAAGTTTTTTCTTACTAAAATTTTTATCTAAAATAGCGAATAATCTGTATTTTGATATCTTTACTATACCGACTAACTCTTCCAAGGTTTTCGATAATGATTTTGGGGATTTTGTTGCTTCTCTTTGATATATTCCGATGTCTGATGCGTTCAGTGTCATTAGTCTTAGTAAAAATTAGCAAACCGCCGACAACTCGTTGTTTTCCCCCGAGAATGATCTCAAGCCAATGATGGCTTCCACTTTTTCCACTGTTCCTCTGTGCAAATCATAAAAAAATGGTCGATTTTTTTTACAAGCGTCAAGGATTGGCTTTTTTGAAAATTTTTTAGTCCTGGGAATTATTGACCGATGTGGTATATAATGGAATTTTTAGCTTAAAGCAACGCAACAGCGAGGAAACACAACAAAAATTATAGAAACACAATTTTTTTTATGTTTCTGGTCATGGCGTTCGCTTTTTGTTTTCAATAACGGAAATTCTTAATCGGGAGGTGAACTTCAACTATGTCAAGAAAATATACATATAAACAATATATGAAATATGTATATATTCTGCGGGAACATTAACAAATATTTTTCGTTTGAAAAAATTTTCCCAAAAGTAAATTACGTTAAATCTGTTAAACAATTTTCCTTTGAATTTATTGAAATGAAAACTCAACTAAAATTCAAAGAAATCTTTTAATTGTAAAAATTCCTATTACTTTGATTGACTTCCATGTCCATCTTGCGAAAGGGATGGGTGCTAATAATACCTGTGCATACATATATTTTACATATTGTCCTTACGAATGTACATATATATATATATGTACTTGACATCAAATAAGTTACATTAACCAAATTTCATAACGTAACGTTAACCTTGTCCAGATTTCTGTTCAGTTTCCATCATAGGCAATAAACGTAAAAGAACAAATGTTTCACAGCATACACTCACTATTCGTTAGAAACACGTTAAGATTGAAGTGAAGTCGCTCATAAAAATTTTATGACACCGCAACAAGTAGTAGTCGTAACAACATTGAATTTTAAAAGCGAACACTTTAACACACACTCTTGTTACTGGGGAAAACTTATTTTTTCTTCAATGCTCAGCTAAAAATTTCGTATTAACAGTTACGTGTATGCGTGTCTGTATGTGTGTGTGTACATATATGTGATCTCGTTTCCATTAACACCTAATCATTTATACTATAATAGTAAATATATCGATGTCCATTGCATGGTATACGTGAAGAATGATTGATTAATCATTTCTTAAAATATTTCCTTTAATTTTATGTAACAGGGAAGAAAAAAAAATACCGGATAAACATCGTTACAGATTTTATAAAATCAGGTGGCAGTTCATATCACTTTTTTTGTAATCTGACGGCTAAGCAGGATAGAAGTTAATATACTTGCAGATGTGCAGAATAGTTAAAGTAAACCAAAAAAAAAAATAAATAAAAAATGACTTCTGCAACTACTCTTCTATCCTGAGCGAGGACCATAGGCATATTCATGAGATGCAATCTACTTTTGTATGACAAAATCCCAAGTCCAGCCAAAACAAGAAAGAGCTTTTAAACGGATCCGACACAAGCCATATGGCAATCGTACTGTCATAAACTTAGGATTGATTTACCTAGGGAAATAAACAGAGTTGTATTTTCGGCAACCTTACTGCCATAAATTTAGGATTAATCTATCTAGGGAAATGAACAGACTTATATATAGTAATATAAGTATTATTGAAAGTCTTCAAACATGCCTTTTGATAAACCCCCGAATGGATGCACCTTTACACATACGAGAATCAATTTGTAAAATAAAAAGTAGGTTTGCTATTCAAGGATACTCCTAAATCGTACGATGAGTACGCCCTTATCTCCTTTCTAAATACTTACACTTACTTAGGTTACAGATGCTTTATTTCTTTAATTAGAAAGCATGCAGACACAGCTTAGATCAAGCCCCATGGTAGATAACCTAGAGAGTAAAGCCTTAACCTAGTTACAATTAAGCAGAGATCTTAAATTAGGAAATTAGTTTGTATAAATAAGAGTAAGAAAAAAGAGAAATCGAAATCCTCGGTCTGCTATGTGGCTCCATCAACTCTAGTGAAGTACACCGATTAAGAGTACAGCACATGAAATATTATTTATTAAGTTCGCAGAGTGCATCTCAATAACAGTATAATTTTTGGTAACAAAAATGAACGGCCGCACACAGGTCTGAAGAGGAGCCGTTTTAAAGAAAGCAAGAGGATCTAGTAAAGAGATTTGCTTATAAATCTAATTCAAATTTTTACAGAGGACGCAACACGGATTAAAAACTTCATAGTCGACCGCTCATCGGCTAAGTTTGATAAAAAGAAAATTTCTTGTCGAGCGGATAGGAACATTAAAGTTAATCTCTATGAATGCCTAGGATAAGCTTACGTTTCTCGAGTGACGGCAAAGATGCCTATTCTTATACGGTGTTATATACTATACTAAGTTTTCTCTTTTCCAGCTTGTTTCCTGTTTAGGATGAAAGCAATGGATATAAAAAATTCCGCAGCTTTCGTAAATGAGGGTCTAATTCTAGGTCGTAGACCGGAGAAAATACTGAACATTTGTTCACTGTGTGTGTTTGTGTGGACTTCTGCTTCTGCTATGAATAATAGAAAAATTAATTCCTCTTCCATGATGGCAGAAATTGTATTCTTGGTAACAATCTTGGATTTCGACGGTATTTGAGTAAAGCTCCCTATTCTCTCTGCAATGCAAAATTTTTTATTTACTATGAACGACTTCGCGTAGTAAAAATAAAAAAATCCTCATTATCTATTAGTCATTTAAATACATTAGACAGATAAATAATTATCCAAAAGTGATTAAAATATTATTTCTTCAATGTGTCCTTTTAACTACATAGGAATATCTTTTGGAACTGAGCGAAGTTTCTGTCCTTCAGCGAACGTTTGGAACGTTTTATTTTCTTGATCGTTGCAAGTGATCTTTACATGCTCGACCCATTTCGATTTTATTTGTGTGTATATTTGACATTTGGTATTACGCGTCTTCATAGTAGACGGATGTTCTACAAGAATTGTCTGCAAGTCTACTATCCAGACTACTACTGATGAGCATTTAATTTCGCTGATTAACGAAATATCGTATATCTCGCCCGCCATCATCAATACTTTCACAATAGCTAGTAGCAGTCTAGGAGTATAAAGAAAATAATACTTGTAGGCATTTAAAATTGGCTATGAACTTAGATCTTCTGCTCTTATTGAAGTAAAGCAGACAGTGGACCCTCTAATTACATTAACCGAAGGCCTGGTATTTTCAGAAAGCTCTCTCATATATAAACATATTAGACGACAAGCGCATTGATTAAGTTAGTAATTAAGTTTGCAACAACAAAAATTTATCTATGACAGGATTTGGCATCAATGAAGAAACTTATTTTTATACCCATCACCGAAAGATGAGGGGTATCTTCATGTTGCTACGTCCACAAGGAAGCATAGCAGAGATCCCACAAAGTATATATATATTCTTGATTAGCATAAAATCTTAAAACGATTTAAGCATGTCCATCTGTATGTTTGACTGTCTGTGTGATTTCTATTGTAAACATTCTCCTCGCCGCAAAAGAAAGAAGCAATTGACTCCAAATTTGGTGGAAACATTGGAAGTTCTTGTACGCAGGTTAACATTAAAACTGGACAAAATCGGTCAAAGGACACACCCACAGCAAAAGGAATAAAAAAGTGGATTTTTGATCATTACTCATAAACTAAGGGAAAAGTTGGTCCCGCCTACCCAATGTTAGAGTGTAGAGAATTTTAATTTTTTTTTTTTCGATATCCTTGCAGGGCGCAGAAGATCATTGCTTGATGAACCCCTTAAAGTGTATATATATTCTTGGCCAATTTCAAATTTGGAATACACCTAAGCATGTCCGGCGGTTAATTTGTCCATCTGTCTGTCTGCGCAACTTTGTAGTATTTGTGTGTGGTTAACATTCTCCCGTTAGCGATAACGATGATATCGCTTACGAATTTGCAAAACAATTTGAAGGTGACTTCAACTTTTCCAAGGACATGTAACGCCCAATCGTCTATGCGACGAAAACTTTTATTTTGAAAATATAGAGGATAGAAGACGAAAATTTGGTTTTTTTACTTTTTTTGGTTTTTTTTTAACATAACAGTGATGAGTATAAAATATTCGATCCCGACCGAATTGATTATTATTATTGTTATTATTATTCGCCAGAGGAATAAATTCTGAGACGAAACTCTTAAAGCACTAGCATCTAACGCTATCGGCATTTTATTAACAACTCTGCCGCACTTAAGATTCGGACCCACGACTATTGACTTGCTAGTCGAGATTCCTCGACTCCGGCCACTCAGGCGGATCCGATGAAATTAAATTTTCTTACTTGTTTCGTGTTTACGTCGTTGTTGTTTGCCATTCAAAGGACATCCAAACGAAAGTATTCGTTGCCGTGCAATGTGATTCTACCAGTCCAGGTGATTTCCATAGTCTGCGGCAGGTAAAGTGTTAAAAATTTCGCACAAAACTTGACTTGACTTGGACGATATGCAGAGTCACATGCCCTTCCCCCAATTATAAAACGCGTAATAAATACCTTCGCTTTTTCGCCTCTTCGCCACACTAGCAAAAGTAAAAAAATTTGCTTGAGCACATCGGGTTTTTGCTGATTACCATGAAAAAGGAATCTTATTTTTGGAGAAATAGAGAGAGAGAGAGAGAGAGAGAGAGAGAGAGGGAAAGAAGAGGGAGAATAAGAGAATTGCTTATGAAATTGTGGAGCTTTGTAAGCTTTTAAGCTTTAATTAAAATGAGCTGTTAATGTTGATGCTCTAGACCAATTTAAATTTTTGTATACTCGTGTCTCCTCATCCATTCAGTTGCTTTATAATATTTGTGCTGTTGATTCATATTAAAACGACGACTCTAAGAGAAGTTTATAAATTTTCCTTGCCTTCTTATTTGCTGTGCTGCGTTTCTACATTCAAAGTGTTTATTTTACATTATTTATTTGTTTTTTTTTTTTTTTATTCTTCATTTCTGTTCTTACTAAAACAACAACAAGCAAGAAACTTTAGTTTAAAAAAAAAAAAAAAAAAAAAAATTCTCACACTTAAGCTAAACAAAATTTTAAACCTCACTATTTTCCTTTATTTATTTATTTAGTTATTTATTTTTTTATTTTTTTTTTTTTTTAATACTGATAAATACTTCTCACATAATTATATATGTGCATTTGTACATACATACATAAATAAGAGTGCGTGTTAGTGTTTTGCAAGATGAGTTTTACACGGCAATTGTCCGAAATGAGTGCTAGTGAGCTGAACGACGCTATCGATGATACAAATTTTCCTCAAGCTCATATCCTTTCACGCGGTCGTAATAATAGCGTCTGCTCAACTGGCAGTACACCATCTCGTGATCGTACTTTATCTCAAACTGAGGACATAAGTCCAGTTAACGGTACTGCTGCAGGATTCGGTGATAATAGCAATAATGCTACGATGGCTCATGCCCGACCCAAATTAGTTTTAAAAACGAACGGCATTATAGCTGAAAGAGAAGAGACAACAAGTATCTCAAGTAGTGATAGTAGCAACGGTCGGCCGAAGACTCCTTGTACACCGAGAACGTCAACAACACCAGGTGAATTTTTGGTTTTTTTTTTTCCTTTCACTTTCACTGTTCGCCCCGTCCTATTATCAAAAAGCATGTGAAATTATATTTTACATGTGTATAACAACAACAGCAGCAACAACAAACGCTTAGTTACTCAGAAATGAAATAAAAAGCATTTCACTTAAATGAATGAATTGATTGATAACAAATTAAGCGAACTAATGATTGTAATTGATAGCAATAATAATGAGTTCCTTCTATTTTGCTTATCTTTTCTGCAGGTCATGAAAATTGTCCATTTCATCATGATCTAGAGTTGGATCATAAACCGCCAACGCGAGAGGCTTTGTTGCCCGATATGGCCAATTCGTATCGTTTACTGTTAGGTGGCTTAGGTGAAAATCCCGATCGTCAGGGTTTAATAAAAACTCCTGAAAGAGCAGCAAAAGCGATGTTGTTTTTCACTAAGGGCTACGATCAAAACTTAGAGGGTAAGTAAATAAACGAATGATATGAAATATATCGTTTCTTGATCATGTGCTTGGAAATACATGTGTAAATGTATAAATTGAATTTAAGTAAATGAAATGAAGCCTTAGAGAGTATCGTGAGACTTGCTCACTATGCACTAGATTTAAGAGCTAATAAATAAATATTTTCTATAAAAAAAAAAGAAAACAAAAATAACCGTCGTATGGTAATATTTCTAATATATAGAAGTATTTCGATTTTTATATCACCCTATACCACTTCTAGTTAGTTAGTGCGGACATATGTAACATCCGAATAGGCTTAAGCTAGACCTACCTCTTATTACCGATCACCGAGCCTATCTGTCCGTCTATCCATCTCTCCATGTACTTTTGCGTTCAAGCTGCAGGTCGCAATTTTCGAGATATTTTGATGAAATTTGATACACTAACGTACTTTCGCCCAAAAACGAACGCTATTGAAAACACTTCGGATCGTTCACCTTTTCGAACACTTTCAATATAACGACATATTCTGAAAAGTCGTTATGTGAAAAAAAATGGCAATTTTCAAAATATCCTGGCAAAACTGTTTAAGTGATAATATTTCGGTATTCTAAATGGGTGTGCAAACATTAGAACGCCTGGCGCAATTTTTGGAACCACCTCTCATATAAACTTTCCTCCGAAAACTGAATACATATATATATATATATATATGATAAAAAGGTCCCAATTGCATGGCGGAAATTGGACCATATAGGTCTATTTTTTGGATACTACAAGGATTCTCGTGAAACGTGAACCCTTGTATGCCACAAAAGGTTTAATGGTTAACTTCTTTGTGATGTAAATTTATTTAGAATAGTAATTGGATAAAAAAATTACATTTACCTCGTCTGAACCATATGAGTCTTTTTCTTGACCTCACTCTATATAAGATATTCTCATGGGTACAAAGCCCTTCTGACATAAGTTTTAATACTTTGTGATGAAATTTAAATCATTGTAGCGATTCAGCAAACAAATTAATAACAGGTAATGTAGACCATATAGGCGTATTTTTTTAGACAGTGACATATAAAGGCGCTATCACGAAAATCAAACTCTTATATGAAGAGAAAATCTAAACTTCCAACATGCGAACTTTTACGAAGTTTAACGCTATGGAATTATGGTACGGAATAGCTGTACTAAACGAAGTGGAGTAGGCTACGTAATAGTCGGTGTGGCCTGACTATAATGTTCTTAGTTGTTATTAAGAATGGATGTGTACCAGTGGACCGACACTTGTCTGTAATCTAATACATATACAAAATATCATGTCGATGTTATGTTATTCCGTGCATTTGATTACAATGGAAATGTTATTCCATTCCAAAATTTATTCCATATCATCTTAATCTAGTTTGTCTTTTTCTAGAATTTGTAGATAGCACTAAAAATTATAATATAACAATGCTTCAAATATTAAATGCAGTATTAAGGCGGTTCAATAGTTTGGCGGAAAAATTTTCCCCGACACAAGTTGCTCTCGTAATGTGTCAACTTACGATCAAAAGGCTTCAAGACAAATTAAGCAAAACTTAAGCGAGAAAGTTGCGCAGTCTTAAGCTCGCCCGTTTATTTAACAATCGATGGAAATAGAAAATTGTTAAAACCGTTTCGTATAACTTTTAATTAATTTTTTAAAATTTCAATAAAATAAAGTTAGAAATCATCTCTCATTTTTCAAGTAATAACGCAATGATGGCATTGTTTCACGAGATGTGTAGTCAGTCAGCAGCGTCACACTATTCGAAATGTTATTCTTCCCCATCCATAGCAGCATTAGTTTTAGGGCAAAAAAAGTTAATCAACATTGCCTGATACGGCGTCCAATCATTGTTCCAGCATACATTCAGCGAACGTAGGCGAGCGAAAACCATCCATTTATTACTTCGCAAATCTTATCATAATCACAGTTGAATGCTAATACTTGAAAATTGGTGTGAAATTGAAAATGATGCCTCCTGTTGGAAGGACCTTTCATATCAAAATATTGAAATAGAAACTCTCAACTTTCTCACTGCATTCCAAGGCATGGGCGAAAATTCTCTACGTTCTTACGTTATCAAGCTAAATAAAACTAAATTGTTGTATAAAAAAAACAAAAAAAAAAAAAAAAACAAAAGATTTATTATCATCTCGAACGCTTTAAGATTGGTTTAAGTTATACGTACGGATTCGAAGTAAAATGACATACACAGTTTGTCGTTACGTTTCAATGGTTAGCATCGAGATTTAATTTTCAAAATTAATGGTCATCGGATTCCATCCGCATCGTGCGATAACATCAATTTCTCATTACTTTTGTTATCATAAGAAAAAAAAAAAAAAGAAATGTGCACACTTTTCGAAAAACTAAACCCATAATTACATTTCTTCTATATATATATATATATATAGTTTTATATAACTGTCGGCAAAATATATAGAGAAGATTTTAATGTCAAAAGGGAGATATGTGAAGATACGCGTATACCATTATGTACGCATGTAGATATATGCATGTATTGTATGTATGCATTTCATGTCTGTGTGTGTGTGTGTGTGTGTAGGCTTTGTATTTATAATTGATTATTTTATTTTATAAATTTAGTTAGCGGTTATATAACAAAACAATTATAAAATAGTAGAAGGGCTGCTTCATTCTTTTGGCTTCTTCATCAATTAGTTAGTCAAAGTGTATAGTAGGGTTTAAGTTTAATTATTCCAAAATATCAATCCTTATCAATACAAATTGAAAATTCTCTGTAAATAGATTATTTAAACTCCATAGAGTTTATTTGCCCGCAAACAATTACGTAATTGGAAAAAGTTTACATTCAACAATCAAACAACAATTGTATCAACCTTGAGATAGATCCTTGATAACAGTTTGAAAGCACACTTGTTGTTACTTATTGCGTCATTGTGAGCGTACTAATTCGATGATTTGCACTATTCTTACACTGACCTATTAGATGGACTTGTAAAAATATTGATACCCTTAGCCTTAGAAGTAATACGTAATAAGCTAGGAAGAGTTCGCTATAATAAATTAATAAGCAAATAAATTCCTTGTTACAAGATGTAAGTTATAGTTTTTTATAACTTACAGCATATAGATGGACAGACAGGTGAGCGGATTTAAAACGAGCCAGAATGACTAAAATTTATTTGCAAAGCCTCTAATACGTATTTTTAAATTTATATTCCTATTCGTCGATAGTGGTTGTAGGTATAAGTACTCAGCTTTACTAAGCAGCATGTCTTCCAAAAGCCGTAACGTGAATTGTAGTCGAGCAAAGTCGTTTAAACCACTTTGCTTAACATAATTCTTCATTCGCATCGCAGTCATTCTTCATGCTTTGTCATAGAGTCGAAAAAACTGCGCATTACTGGAACGGCTTACTTTCTACTAGGGCTCTTATATAGAAGGAGTTCCATAGCGTGAACCTATGCGGTCTAATTTTAATTAAGTTCTGTCCATGGCCTCATTACTTTATATCTGCTTTCATCATTAAATACCATAAATGAAAGGTCGTTTCCATTGAGGAGCCTTGTATAGGAAAGAGTTCAGTCAACAGATCTATGTGCTTCAAGCTATCTGTAACAAATTTTGATGTCAAGTCATTATCTTAGATCGATTTTCATTATAAAGTACAAAAAATAAGATGATCTAAATGCCATACAAAGATTTATTTTCAGCAAGAATATTCTTATGGAAGGAGATAAGAAAAATGGTTCCATTCAATCTAAATTCACTTTGTATGCCAGAATAATATTTCGCGAGAAATATTCATGTGATATTAAAAAGGAGAACGACTAACGACTTTTGTAGAACAACTTTTTCAAAATAAGGCTTTATATGGTTAATGACTTATCAAAATTGTCCGATCCAATCAATTTTTAATTGTGTTGATCCTTGATCAAAAAAACAAAGGAACAGATGTGAGACGGACAGACATGCTTCACACTACTCAGATCATGATTCTGAAAATAATTTCTAAATTATTGTTAGAGGAAAAGTTGCTTGGAATACAAGGTATATACGTAAGGTATTCAGTAACTCTTAGAAAGACAGAATCATTTTTTGAATCGATGTCTGTCCATATACTGTTTAGTTCAACATAAATAACGTAAGTTTTGAGGTATTTCGATGAAATTTGCTACGCTATTAAAAATAGTTTGGATCGGTCCACATTTCGATCATTCCACATATAAAATTTCGTTATATGGAAAAAAATTTTAATTTTCAAAATTTTTTGGCAAAACTCGCCCAGCACTAGTACTTCGTCATTCTAAATTTGTTTGACGATTTTTTGAGCCTCCTCTCATATACCTTTATATGGTAAAAAGATCTAATTTTCAGTACTTCATGGCGAAAATGAATTTATAATAGAAAATTTCCAAAGAAGATAACCTTACCGAACTTGGACCACATAGGTGGGTAACGTAAGGTAATTGTTATATGCCAAAAAGATCGAATAATTAAGTGGACCAAATTTGAATTACATGGGTCTACTTCTTGGACCACACTCCACACAAGTGTTCTCATGAGCACTTAGTAAACTCTTTATATTTTGTAATGAAAATTGGGTCCGTAGTAGCAAATTAACCAAAAAACTGAACGGTAGAGTATTTGAAACACATAGGCCTGCTTTTCAGATTCCAACCTATGTAAGGGTTATCATGAAGAGCAGGCCCTTATCTAAAGTGAAAGTGTAACTTCCAGTTGTCTGTGGCAGAAACTGAAAAACAGTAAAATTTTTAGAAAATAAATTAAGTTTGCAAAGTTTGGAGCGCTTCATGTAACGTGTCGGGCACCGTTCCATATGCAGGCTTTCGAGAAAATTACGACTTTGTATGAAAATTACTAAAACGAGTGAATAACTGCACTAGACGAAGTGGTGTGGGTTATCTAATGGACTTGCCGGAGTGTAATGTTCTTACTTGTCAATTTCTTAGTAAACTTAAAGAATTTTTTTTATTTTATATTTATATTATATTTATTATACACATATTATACCTTACATAGTGTATCTTTAAAAAACACAAGCTAAACGCTATAGCGGACCACAGACCACCATCGAATGCCCTATACAACCTTGCATGTATTCATATGGCGACTGTTCAAAATGACGCACTATATGGTAAGTGGTCAAAAAACTGGTCCGATCCGAACTATATATTTAACAGCGTATATTCGCGAGCCAAAAAATGTCAGTGTACCAAATTTCATCAAAATATCTTTAAAATTGCGGTCTGTAGGCGGAAAGCAAGAGAATAAGACGGATAGACTAGCTTAAATCGATTTGGAAAACGATTCTCAGCCGATGGATATAATAAAAGTCAGGACCTTCTCAAGTCCCTCTGTATGTTGCACATATTCGCACAAAGTTAATGTGCCCTTGTTTTGCAGGATGTAAAAAGAAAAACCGACAGTCTTTGTTGTTCCCTTTTAGTCCTACAATTTATTTCCTACAATATTATAAATAAATAAATTGCATACCAATAGGCACTTAGCGATTGAAGTAATGCTAAAGTTCAATAAACATGTCATATATACTTAACAGAAGTGAAAGGCCGCGTGCTATAAACAAAATTGAAAAGCCATATGTTAGGCTTAGGAAGTATGCTTGAATGCGTGCCGATTTTTGGATGTTGATAAAAGAACCTTTTTTTTCGCAATTAAATCATTTTTGATCATTTTTTTGCAACTTGAGATAATTTCCAATCATCGGATCATGTATCGAATAAGTAATATTATTACGTAATATTTAAAACATGTATAGTCTCTTCATTCTTTGACTCGAATTTCTTCTCATTGCCTTTAATAATTTCCAAGAGATAATTTCCAATTATACCCAATGCCACACAGTACTGGGTTTACGAAATATTTATTAGACCCAACAATCGGAAGATCGGAAACGCTATATACTCTATTTACCTACCTACTCTATTTATCTACCTTATCCTTCCTATCGTTCGCAAATAAAATGCTTGCCTACAATTCCCATACAGTTACGACGAAGCATATAAATAGGTTCTTTAGTTCCTAAAAAAATAAATAAAAAAAAAGGCACTATACAAGGAATATGCAATCAATATATCGATAATAATCGAAATAATTTTATCGTCCTTTCGTTCAATCACATATCACACACGAGCTAATCGTAACTGAGTATTAATTAAGCTTTTTCATTTCGTTTGAAGAAGCTATTTATTGTGGAAATTTGATACAATATGTGTTACTCGAAATAGTTTCCATCATTTTCTACAACATTTTACAATATGTTTGTGGAACATGGCGATATCATGTCGAAAGAACTTATATTGATTTGGCAGTGATCCATCAATCGATCCATTTTCGCAGTTTTTCGGCTTTGCGGATCCGCGTGCCAACCAAGCCATCCTGCACCGTTCTGAACAAGTGGTAATCACTTAGGCGTCATGTTTAGTGAGCATGCTGAGTGTAGAAGAGCTAGCAGCCCATTTGAGCTGTAACAGTGTATCCCGGACAACAATTGCAACAAGCGGCTGAAAAATTACATTTTCAGTCAATTTGCGTCGCCACTGCTAAGCCATTGATATCAAAACCGATAATTGGAATATGATGGAGCAGTGTCATCATAAGCGTCTGAACGTGTTTGGTGGCGACATTAGCGTCGGCGTACCCTGAATATATCAATATATAATATTAAGGAGGAAGTAAGGTCAGAACCATCGAATTCAACCGTTATGTATACTAGTATCTGTCATTTCCTTATCGTTTATACCTGTAGAAGTTGCTGAGCAAAATTTTTGCAAACACACAAGAAAAATCATATAATTGAAAGTGAAAATTATTAAGTTTTTATTAATTAACGCCTGATCCATGGTTGTGATGGCTGAATTCAATTCGAGTTATTCAATGGCCAATGAATGGTATAAAGTGAATGTAGCAAACCGAACGTTAGAATTAATACACTCTTATTCTGCGTCGCTTACAATGGAAAGGAAAGGAATAAAAGAATACAATAAATGCCTTAGTCTAGCTATAAATGTTAAGATATACATAAAGATATGAAAGAGTGCGTGCTTCAGATTTACAACTTTAGCAGTTATTCGAAAGCATGCATCCTTGGCATTGTTAAGATAACGGGAATGTGGAGAATAAAAAACCAAGTCATGTACGTAAATTGGCTAAGAGAACTAAGTACATGTATTTTTGAAATTGTTGAGAGAGAGAGAGAGAGAGAGAGAGAAAGAGAGAAAGTAGGTAAGGAGAAGTGCAAAGATTAGAAAAGTATGTGACGTTTTCTTCTTGGAAAACACTTTCAATTGTACGTCGATTATGATTAAGAAGCAATGGCGTAGAATATATAATGAAATTGATGATGATGCTTAGTTTAGCTTTAGTTTTAGGGAAATACTAATACTACCACTACTACTACTATTACTACTACTACTAGCTGCTACTTATCATAGAATATTTTAAGAATGTTCCTATATAGATTTACAAGTGCTTGCGTACAAGCACAAGTATAAATGTGTTTATGGAAAACCTGTTGCAAGATTTTACTAGAAATTGAAGGTGAATAACTTTCATTTTGTTATTACGTTATTTGTACAATTGTATATTCGTTAGAGTTCTTATGAGGTTTGTGTTTTATTTCTTTATTCACTGAAATTCTATGTAAAAATGATTTACAATAACAATCAACCGGTTTTTCTCATACCAAATAAATTATATTCTAATGGCCTTCAAAGCAGGAATTTTTTTTTTACAATTTTTTAACTCTCTGTAATATACGTACATATGTAAATAAAGCGTAACAATTAATGATCAATGTTCATTATGTTTTCCCATTATTTCGTATAGACGTTTTAAATGGTGCTGTCTTTGATGAGGACCATGATGAGATGGTGGTGGTTAAAGATATTGAAATGTTTTCCATGTGCGAACATCATTTAGTTCCATTTTATGGCAAGGTGTCGATTGGTTATTTGCCTTGTAATAAAATATTAGGCCTTAGCAAATTAGCAAGGTAAGCGGATATAATTGGAAATTAACTTTTCAGCAAAAAAAATAAAAAATTGGAATTTTATTTATTTTTTTTTAGAATTGTGGAAATATTTTCACGCCGATTACAGGTACAAGAACGTTTAACCAAACAGATAGCGGTGGCCGTAACACAAGCCGTGCAGCCAGCAGGTGTAGCGGTAGTAGTAGAAGGAGTGTACGTATTATTATAAACGGAACAAATTGTCATATAGAAGACAAAAAAATTTATTTACTTTCATTTATTTTATTTTTATTACAGTCATATGTGTATGGTTATGCGTGGTGTTCAAAAAATTAATAGCAAGACGGTAACTTCTACTATGTTGGGTGTTTTTCGCGATGATCCCAAGACGCGGGAAGAATTTTTAAATTTGGTTAATTCAAAATAGAAAAGTGATTTAAAGAGAAAGAGAGACAGAGAGAGAGAGAGAGAGAAAAAAAAAAGAAAAAACAGAAAAAACAAGATAAGTTTAATACAATTTTCCTTTAGTAATATTAAGACAAATAACAAACAACTGTTTTCGTCGCGAGGCGAATTATTGATACCCACCACTTGAAAAAAAATTAATAATTGTCGTTCTATCTATCGTTACAACTTGTCAGCGGGATCGGAGGTTTTTATAAAAACTTTGACTAATAACGTTTCAAAGTCCATTTACCTCAACGGAACCAGCCTAGTCGAAGCAGTCTAAACTAGTTAGATAGAACTAAGCTGGCGGTTTAGACTCGACCATCCAATCTAACCAAGATCTAAGACTAACTTATCCCGCCCGGCTTGAAATGATTAGTGAGTTAGAACTGGTCTTTATAAGCTAGACTATCCATTAGCATATCCTTGCAACTGGGAAATAATCGATTTGTCGTACGGCAATTTCGACGAAAATCAAATAAAATCACAATCTCGCGCGACGCGAAGAGACAAACAGTTAAAATTAGGTCGTTTTAGAATTTCCCGCTGATCAAAACACACATCTTTATTATTTTTTTCTAATGTACTTATGGTTGTTACGAAAAATTAATAGAAGAATCATGGGTATAAAAATTAATTTAAACTTAATGAATAAGATAAAATGAGAAAAGCAGGGTCCAACAACACACTTAAACAAATAAGTGCGTACAATAAATTTACTGGAATATATTTTTTTTTTCAGTCAAATGTGTTTTTTTTTAACGGTATCTGGGTTCAAATAATTTCAATATTTTTTTTATTTAATTTACATTATATTAGATAAATTGATAAGTTCTGCTTTTATATAAATATTTTTGTAGAAGAATTTTATTTAATTTTTATTGCGATTTGATTATTAAAATACTCGAATGTTTTAAAAAAAAAAAATATATATACGTGTCAACGATTTAGGGAATTTACAATATATACTCATATAAAATATATAATTAATTTTATTGAAAAATAAGCCAAACACGTACAATTAATACATGTTGGTTAATAAACTGCTATGTTATTAGTATGATATATGCATATACAAATTAAAAGAATTCAAATCTTAAAAGCGTTTAATTATTTTGGTTACACTATGATCCGATAATTCGATTTTATTGAAATGAAAGTCAATGGAAACTGCTTTAGTTCTCTTTGATTTGATTTAATTTGACTGCTTCGTTTCGAATTTAGAATTTCGGATATCCGGATTTCTGGAAAGAGCATTATAATCGGCTGCAATCGAATCTTATGTACGCATCGTCATTATCTTAAAAATGAAAAGAAATGCAAAAAACCAAATATGCTCTATAATATGGAGTGGATGCGACTGATTTTTTCTATTTTCAAAATCAAAGTTTCTGCCGCATGTGCATGTGGACGTTGTAGACGTGTTTAAGTCACTTGCAAATGCTTTTGCAAATTTACGGGAGAATACTTATGGCAAATACTACGTTGCAATGTGTTGACTAAATTAATATACCCTCACCCTTCGGTGATGGGCACAAAAACCTTAAGACCGCTTTTTGAATTGATGGCACATAATTGCTGGGCTTCTTATTCGTCCCAATTACAATGAAATATTGATATCATCGACGTATATATGACAACGTAATACAAAGAAGAGGAAGAAAAGTAAGTAAATGAACAACCGAAATATAAAATTTAAAAGCAAAAATCTCTTCAAATAAATCTCTTCAATAAAAACATAAAACAAAGTTTAATAAATTGAATTTATTCTTGCTTTCCTAATGGCTAGCTTGATAGTTATAATTTCCAGATTAAATTTGCCTATATACAACCTGACCGTAAATAATCACACTTTCAGAGTACTTTTTAAATAGTTTCTAGTTACCCTGCATTTCCAATTTTAGTCCTTCACGCAAATTCTGTGTCAACTCCTTTTTATATTTTGAGGCGCCAGCAAATAAAACCATCGAAGATAATTATTTAATTTTACTATTTTTGGTGACATTTTGCAAGTGCTAGGAATAAGTAATCTTTCAAAGTCTATTAATTTCATTAAATATGTGCTTTTGAAACGATATTTTACTTTATTTTCCCTTTAAAGATGAAGATCGATACCTAGTTTGCTTTGCAGTTAAAATATTACATCGTTCATTCAATATCGCGCAAACAGTCATACGTTATCGACTACGACGATACGATATTGCATTTCACTAATGCGACTGCCACGTATGTGTGAAGTATTTTTAGCATCAGCCGGTGCGGCTACAGTTTCCGATTCTTCACTTAATATGCTAACAGTTTTGTCCAACGTCAGCCCAATTTTCATTAACGAAAACTGTCAACCCGAAACGAAAATTTATCATCGACTTAGCTTGATAACGACGAGCAATGGTTTTTGCAATAAGTGGTCCGGGCAGTTTCTCATTAAATATAACCAGCACTTCTCAACCCTTCAAAAAAAAAAAAAAAAAACAATTATCGTATTTCGAGAATAAATCTGCTTGAACTTACTCATCCTTTTTTTCCATTCTTATTTCTTGTATTTCACGATCGTAATATTCTGGATACTCTTGTAATTCATCTAATTTTTTCAACATTTCTTCATCCACTTCATAAACTTCACCTTTAACATTATGACCACGTCCGCATTTATTCAGCAAGAATGGAATATTAAATCGAGTACTTATAATCAGTGGATATCTTTCAAATAAAATAAATATATTATATTTCAAGCACTTCAAGCACTTGTACGAATATATGGTAAGAATTAAGAGAAAATTTTGAAAAAAAAAGACGTCTTTAAAGTGAAGAAATTAATATTTTCTCATAAACTTTTCAAGTGATACGTTTTGTCATTTTTATTTGATTTGAAAAAATTGTTTCAATTGTTTATTGCAAGTGCATTGATTTTCGTCTACATACATTTCGGATATTTTGGACGAAACTTTTCTTACTTTTACAGAAATATATTTTAAAAATCAGATTCAAGAGTTCACTATATTGAGGCGCTAGCTAATCAAGGAGTCATACAAGACCAAACTTTTAAAGTGATACGTTTTGTCATTTTTATTTAACCTGATCCGCCTGGGTGGCCGAGTAGGCAAGAGTCTCGACTAGCAACTCAGTGGTCGAATCTCAAGTGCGGTAGAAGGCAGGTTTCGAATCTCAAGTGCGGTAGAGTTTTTAATAAAGACCGATAGCCTTAGATGCTAGTGCTTTTAAGAGTTTAGTCTTAGAATTTATTTCTCTGGCGAAATTAATAATAATAATAATATATAACCTGAAAAAAAAATTGTTTCAACTGTTTATTGCGGCAAGTGCATTGATTTTCCTCTACATACATTTCCTACACTTTAATAATAATCACAAAAAAAAAAATTCACTCTCTCAAGATTATTGAAAATAAAATTTTAATTAACAATTGGGAGTTGCTTTGAACACTAAGTTACGATTACAAGCAACACGAAGAAAAAGAAAAGAAATTATCGACACAATAAAAAATAAAAAAAGGTTAAATTTTAATTGGATCAAACTCACATAAAAATTATTAAAATGCTAATAAAGATGAACATCTTATTAAGAACAAGAGAAATGAGTAAAAATTTTGAATAAAATATTTTTATTTCAATTTTCATCTTTAAGAAGTTTTTATTTATTTGCTTTATTGCTAGCTTTAAATGATGTGGTTTTACTATCAAATTTGCTCGAAGAAAGTTGAAAACATTTATCGATTCTTTTGGGCTTTTTAACTTCACTTTGAGACTTCTCATCTAGCTCTTTGCGAGGGTATCTTCCCTTCAATCCCTTCCAATGATTTGCCAAACTTAATTACAATATAATTTTTGTGATCGGAAGATTTAGTACACACAGTAGCCCAGAATTTCCTACGACCAACATCCCATCACTCGCATTACCTCAGATTATTTTTGTTTTATTTGTAAAGAAATCCATCCATCACTTAGAATATGCTTGACACGCAAGAAAAAACTTTTATTTAATCAATTTAAATAAAATTTATATATAATAAAATCGAAGAAAAGAGAAAGCAGTGTCAATTTTATATTGTTTAAGATCTATGGTGAATTCGATATGTCCATATTATCTGACTTCTCAACGCTAACAGACTTACGAAACTTCGAATCAACGCTTGACCTGGTGCTTTTAATATCCACATCCTCATTTTTCGATTTCCGATCGGCTGGAGTACGTGAACGGTTTTTTGACGAAGAAGAAGATGAGGATGATATATTATTTGTCGATTTTAGATTTGACCGTCCAATATCTTTACTACGACTGGAACGTGAACGCACAGAGGCTGGTGAGAGTGAACGCCTCTTGCTGTGTGAGCGTGATGAACGAAAATTTTTCTCTTCCCGTGTTCGGTGCGAGCGTTTACGTTCACGAGAACGGGAGCGCTTTGTGCGAGAGCGAGATCGAAGAGACCGTGAAGAGGTACGACGATGACGAGAACGCGAGCGCTTGCTACGACGATCCCGCGAGCGTGAGCGCCTTTTAGACCGAGAGGAAGAACGACTCTTGCGACGGGAACGAGATCGTTTACGAGAGCGCGACCTCTTGCGAGACCGTGAATGTCGTGAATGGGAACGAGTCCTCCGCTTAGACTTGCTACGCGACCGCCTTCTAGTACGTGACCGGGAACGTTTCCGAGATCTTGAGCGATGAGAACGAGAACGACTTGTGCGGCGGTCACGGGAACGTGACCTAGAACGCGATCGTCTTCTTTTATCTTTTGCCAGCATACCAATAACTGGATCAATGGCAGCCGAAATCATGTTCTGCGCTTCTTTGACAATGGTCATGGCTTCCTCGATTTCTTTTTGCGCCGCTTCATTTGATTTCGCCTCGGGCTTTATTATGGCATCCGTTGAATGATATATATTCAAATAGCCGTTCTTAAATTCTTGACCCTGCATTTTTAAAGCATTAATAATGCTCGATTGCTCACAAAATTCAATCATGCAGTAAGTCTTGTTGTCCTTCTCAGCCCATCTAGCATACTTGACTTCACCCGCGCGTTGAAAGCGATCCATTAGATCATCCAGGCGCCACTCGTTCTTGACATCGCATACAATTATAGTACGCCGTATTTCTTCTATTTTCCGAGTGTCATAAAAAGACGGTAAAGCCGGATATTCGGGTAAATTGTTTTCTAACAATTTCGGATCGTAAGTTTTAATAACTTGTTGTGGCGATTGGCCTTCTATACGATTTATTACTTCTGGTGGTAATTTAGAATCCGGTTTTTGTAAACCTGGGACAATAGTTCCATTTTTATACATCTCTAAAGCTCTATATTCTTCTGGTATTGCTAAAACTGGGATTACAATTAAAGCACGATCGATAAACACCGTATTTGTCAAGTGCTGAGCTACTGGGACGCAGTTGCTGTCAATGTACTTTACATAGCATATACGAGATGTGACTGGACAAGAGACATCTCTTACTGTAGGATATAAACGTATCTCTTCTATTTTTCCAATATTGCCAAATAAAGCTTGCATTTGATCCTTTGTCGCCTGAGGTGCTATATTAGTCACCTGGGTCACGCGTGGCGCATTGCCGCCAGCCATGATTTTTTCCGTTCTCAACTACCGTATGGAAATAAACCGCAATCGCAACAATTTATTCTACAGGAAACCTGCTTTCTTTACCTTTCGTCAAAATTAATATTTGCTCTCCTCAAATATTTCGATTAAGCTATGAACGCTTTTCCTTTTTTGACATATGCAAAGTTGCCAGGTTATACTATCTTGTAAGCGATTTCGTGCCAAATCGCTTATTTTGCAAAATAAGCTAATATTTTCTTTATTGCCGACGTGTATATTAAAATTAAAAGTGATGACAAATATTAAATTGAAACTAAACTAAATTAAAATTGAAATATTAAATTAATTTATTCGCTTTCTAAAGTTGCAAAATCTATTACATTTTGGGTAATCTTGTTATTTTATAGCAATTATAACAACTCTATAAAAAAACGCCTTTTTTATAAAATACGACCATGCTTAACTAGACGCCATTTTCCGCTAAGAAATGAGTTGCATAGTTTCTGACGAAGAGCTCTGGCACTATTTCATTCATTCTCGCTTATTTCGCAATGATATATATCGTTATTTCGCTTATTCCTACAAGAACCATTTTATTGATGAGCTTCTTTTATTCGTTCCATTTTTTTTATAAGAAATCAATCGCGGGAAAATCGCTGAAGAAAAAATAACTTTTGTGCAAAAATGTTAGTTTCTGTGCTTTTAGATAATAGTAAAATCGCTTGAAAGTAGCCCTTATTGTTTGTGAAACTAAAAACATCAAAGATACAAGCAAAATATACTGAATAAAAAAAGTGTGTGAAAAAGCTGCAACACGAGGGACTTAAAATTTGCATAATTATATTGTGTATTAACTTGGACAGAATATCCTTTTATTAGCCAATTATCATAAACTGTTTGATGCCAAAGCATAAGAGGCGATATGGATTTAGTAAATTTGGAAAAATTGAAAGTGGTCGATTTGAGGAATGAATTACAGACGCGTGGTTTAGATACAAAAGGTGTCAAAGCAGTGTTAATTGAACGTTTGCGTTCCCATTTGGAAAGCGGTAAGTAAATATATATTCTTGATTTGAGAAGAATGAAAATGTAAACTGTCTTTAGAAGGACCTCATTTTTTTCTTCTTAAGAAAATAAGTGAACATAAAAGGTGGACTTATTCGTAAGTCACGGCCTTGCCCGCAACAAATTTGAAAGGTCAACAGTTTTTGTTTGATCATTTATGAACCAACAAATTTTTTGATTTTCCTCAGGTGGTGTACTATGTTCACCTGCACATGGGACACCTAGTCGTCGTAGTCGTCGTACCAGATCAATGACACGTTCGCCGTCTCCTTCTCCTGTAAAAAAGGCTCCGGAACCGCCTATTTTAGAAACTTTGCAAGAAGAAACTAGCAATTCAAATAACTTGGAAGAAAATAAAGAAGAAGTAATTGCAGATGCAAAACATACTCCAAATGAGGACACAAAAAGCGTAGATTTAGTTGTTGCGATTGAAAGTGAAATAGATAATGACCAGGCGTCAGAAAAAGATATAATTTCTGTAAAAGAACATGAGTTGCACTCAGAAATTGAAAATGTAACAGATAAATGTAAAGATGTTTCAATTGCAGAAAAAGAACATGCAAGTCTTCAGAATGAGCAAGAAGAAATATCGATTGAATATATGGAACAGATTGAAGAAGTAGTAGTAGAAGAAAGAGGATCTCCAAAACACCAGAATGTGGAGGAGGATATTCTGATTGAAAGCATGCACGAGGTTGAGGAAGATTTACTGGAAGATTCTCCAAAATATCAGAATGAGGGGGATGATATACTGGTTGAAAATTTGGAAGAAAATGACAATTACGAAGATGCTCGGCAAAATGATAAGCAAAAATTAATTCGTGAATCGGTTGAACTAGACACTGCTAACGCAATTTCTCAGGAAAATGAAGTAGAAAATAAAATAGTGAGCGTAGAGACGAAAGCAAATGCCATTTCTGCACCCATTCAGCAAGAGACAGCAGAATTGAATTTAGCTTCTGAGCCGGTTAAGTCAAAATCTCGTTCTCGTAGCAATTCTGAGCAGGGCGAGCGCTACCGTTCTCTCTCACGTTCACTTTCTCGTTCATCACATAGGCGCTCACGTTCGCCTAAACACTGCAGTGGCGGCAGTCTTAACAGCCCTTTGAAAACTGTAGAAGACGCCAATTCGCCCGAAGATGAACCTACAATCGAAGATAGTCAGTTCGGTTTAAGTTGGTGTAAGCTATCAAATTCTTCAGCTATTTACTAATTTATTGACTTAATGTCATTTCTTTTCTTTTAGTCGATTCGGATCTACACTTGCGCATTGATCCCGTGACTTTTACCTCTGCTAGGCCTATTAACCATGATCTGTATGCCTTGGTGTGGTCAAGCGTTCGTGCTAATTATGGTGTACGGGAAGGCAAAGTGTGCTATGAAGTACGGATAGCCGAAGAAGTCTACGTGGGTAGCTCACATGAGTTTCGCGATGAACCATACATTCGCGGTTTTCGCGTAGGTTTTTCTTTGCCTTCAACTACGCTGTTATTGGGAGAAGCTGAACATTCATTTGCCTACTGTGAGAGTGGACGCAAAGCCACAAATAATAATTTTGTTGAATATTCCAAAGCGTACCAGCTTGACGATGTTATAGGATGCTATTTGGATTTAGAAAGTACACCCTGTACCATTAAGTACACTCTAAACGGTGAAGATTTGGGCGTAGCTTTCGAGTTTGATAAAAATATATTAGGAGAAAATGATGCTTTATTCCCTCATGTTCAAACTAAGGGCTATGAATATCAAGTGAATTTCGCGGACAATGACAATCTGTTAGTAAATGCAAAACGCCATATACGCAAAAAGCGCAAAACAAAAAAGGACTGTAAAAAAGAAAATGATACGGCAGAAAAGAAGTCGTCGAATGAAGAAAAAAGTGAAAAAAATGCCAAGGAAGCACAGGATGATATAGAGAATAGAAAAACAAAGCAGGCGGAAATAACCCACGAAAAAGAACTTAAAGGGGGTGTGCAAGAAATACCTAGTGACGCGGAGCAAATAGATTCCGAAAAACAAGAAGGGGAGGCAGAGCAATTGAGCAAAGAAAAGGAAGAAACATCTCCAGGTATTAAAATAATTTCTTTTTTTTTACCTCCACTACCGATTGCTTTTATTCAAAGTGCCACTTCTTTTTATGCCAAATAGCACTCTACATATATATATCTATGTGGTGTATATATATATATATATATCCAGAAAGACTTAAGGCTTTCCTGAATCGATGTAAGCATGTCTACACGTGTATCTGTGTGACAACTTACAGATCGCGGTTTGACGGCATTTAGTACACTGAGGTGTTTTGGCCCAAGGAAAAACCTTATTGAAAATGCATTAGATCGGACCGTTTTCATTACCTATTTCCAATATGACAACTTATTTTGAAAAAGGTGTTGACATACGAAATTGATGTAAAAAGTTATTGTCGAATCGGAATAATTAACTTACACATGCCAAAATGGTGTAATTTTCAATATGTAATACTAAAAGTTTATCCGTCATAAAACTTTACAATATTAGGCCACGTATGCCGTTGTTTTCAATTCTATCCTATGTATATCATAAAGAAAAATATGCTTTCATATGTACGGAGTTTAAACCGCATAATAAGCACTTGTCGGCAAAAATGTTTCATCTTTTTTCAGCAAAGCAAATAAACACTTGAATTAGCGAAGTGGTTGAGGGACATTTAGACATTTTTACATATTCAATTTTAAATTACTAACAAACTTAATTTTATATAATTATTTCCGATAATTAAGACATGAAAGAAACGAAGCAAAAAAGAACTTCTACCGAAGATGATTGCAGTAAACGGATTGATGCAAAATCTTGTAAAGAAGATACGATTGGCCCTTCGCCCAGTAAAAGGCAAAAGTTGCAATCATCGACGGTCAACTCTGAAGACGAATATGAAGAAGTGCATCCTCTGCCCCGCAAGCAAATGTCTTTATTACCCGACTACGAATTGATTGCTCTAATACCCGAGGAAAACTATATTAGTGGACCACAGAGACCTGAGAGTCGTAAAGATTGCGAAGTTATTTTAATGGTAGGCTTACCGGGTTCTGGAAAAACTACATGGGTCTCAAAACATCTTTCCGAAAATCCGCACAAACGTTACCATGTTATTGGAGCTGATGCACTAATAGCTAAAATGACGGTAAGTTACAAATTCTCCTTCAAGCCATTTTACTTTCAATTTAATGGGAAAGTTCGCGGAGGGGAATGGTAAAACGATTTTGTAACTGGGGAAGTGTGTTTACACTCTATTATATACATACATCACCGAGGGCACATACTGAATTTTTTGATCGGTCTTTAAAAGCCGGAACTAAGCCGCTTAGAAAGTATATACACTAACGATAATGGGAAGATCGTAAGTCGATATAATGTTCATGAATTTAAAAGTTGAAATTAAGAAACTTTACATAATGGACAACGATTGAATTTAAAAATGGGTTTGATTTGGATGTAAGCGAAACTTAATGCAAATATTTGCGAAGACCAACAGAAACTTCACATAAAAATAGCGATGAGTAATAGAGTAAAGATTGTAAACGACGGCTTTTATTACAACTACTGATGTAAAACTTATGTATAAATATTTCGTGGCTAAAAGTTCAATGCAAAATCGCTGACGAGCAATCATTTAACAAAATGTGTGTTTCGGGTCTCAAAGATTTTGTCAAGTCTGGTATATGATTTTCTTGTCTGGTTCCACTATTCTTCAAACTCCGCGGACTGCATAATTAGTTTTGCGCACATCATCAATATTTCCCTTATCTAATCTTTTATAGGTGGATGGAGTGCCTCGAAAAACTGTGCATAAAGGACGGTTTGATCGTGTTCACGAACTATGTTTTAATATTTTAACTTCCCTTGAGGATATAGCTGTCAAGCGTCGACATAATTTCATACTTGATCAGGTAAAAACCATCACCAATCACATTTTAGAGTGTGCACGGGCTTTTAAAAAAAAGAAAAATACATCTATATATATGTATATATACGTATGTATATATATATATGTATATATATATATATATTAGCATTTGCATTAAAGTGCATCAAACCGTAGCCTCAACAGTCGTAAAATAAGAGACTGCATCATTTTAACAGGTAAAATTAGTATGTAAGGCTTGCTCCCGTTTTGAAATAAAAAGGTAGGTAAATCTAATATAGAAAAAGAAAAATTTGTAAAGAGCAGTTGACTAATAAAAAAAAGATATATATTAGAGCGGCCAATTGTAAGTAGAATGAAATACCATAAAATTAATTTAACTTAAAAACTGTCGTATAAATAAAAAAGGACTAAGAGAAAGCTATATTTTATATTGAGGCGATATCCACCACCTTAGGAAAATATGATCGGATTAGACGGTGTTTAGGAAAAAAAAATTAAATATAGATTTCATTGTTTTCAGAGTTATTGCAGTAGGTCAGCTAATGTTTTCCTTAATATTTAACGGGACGAATTCTGCTCCCTTGGGAGAAGTTGCAACCCTAGCCAAGTGAATGTGGTTAACGCGATTCAGGAGACGACCCACGTTCTTCACGTATTCATCGATTTTGAAATATGGCATCTGCAATTTGCGAGTATTCGCATAATCAATATGCTTCAAATGTGAAATTATTGGGAATTTTTAAATACCACCTGATGAGCCGTCTTATCGTAATAGCTTGGACGTAAGACGGTAACTTTATTGCAAGCTGGCCTAAGAATTTCTACTTTCAGCGGTTAGTAAATTAGCTATATAGGGCAGCGAAGCTTACACACTCTTACGACACGAGAGTATGTCCAAAACCGTTTGATGGGCTTGAACATTGGCATATTAAATATTTTAACGAGTTAGCTTTCTCACCCGCTGAAGTTGGCCGTAGCTCGAGCAATGCACTACTGGACCTCCCGTTCTTTTAATCACTCTACCCGCGGTTCCCTTCTTTCTTGATAAGTCCAAGTCGAATATCGGCAAATAATATTTCCTTTTTCCTCCTCCTCTCATAATCTAACCGGCAGTGCTAATACATGTGTAGGAAACCATCGCTTGAGTGATTGATTAAATAAATAAGTAAAAGATGCTTTCATATGGTTATATATATATATATATATCAAAAGGGAAGTTTCAGTTCCATCATACGAAACGAGTTCAGACGGTTTTGCAAACATTACGAACGACATGACGAAATTATTGTACATTCAGCCTTGGGTGGTCGATATAAAAATTTATGCTGATAAAAAATATGAAATGTTCGATCCTCATAAGAAGATGTGCAAAAAGTTACATTGATAAATAGAAAGAAAGCGTCAACTGTTGTCTAACGTTTAATGAGCAAAAATCAAGGTATGTGATTGATCGAATTGTACGTATGTATAAAAACAAAACCGCCCTGCACTCAACTGTAATACATAAATGAATCAATAGCAAGCCCGACAATGTAATCCATAACGTTGTTTTAATGGGTTTTTCTCGAAAATGTTGCAATGCAACCCTGCCGGAAAAAAAAAAATTTCAATCCCAACGCAATGTATATATATAAAATTATAGACGAAT